AATCTGATGAGAATAAGGTTCAAACAATGCTCATCTCCCTCCCTTCTTTCCCTCTACTGTAATAGGTCTTTGTGCCTCTTCTTGTGATGTAATTTACCCTTTTCTGCCTCCTCCTTTCCTCTTCTTCCAATACAATCCCTTCCCACCACTTAGATTTTTTACCATCACATCAAAGTCAACTTATACCCATGCCATCTATCTATGTATACCTCTTTTAAATGTCACAATAAAGATACAGTTCTCGAGTTACAAGTAGCATTTTTCCTTATAGGGATGTAAACAGTTTGCCCTTATTGGATAACATGATATATTTTTTTCTTTCCTATTTACCTTTTTATGCCTCTTTTGAGTCTTGTATTTGAAGATAAAATTTTCTGTTGAGCTCTGGTCTTTTCATTAGAAAGGTTTGGAAGTCCCCTATTTCATTGAATGTCAATCTCCTCCCCTGAAAGATTATGCTCAATTTCACTGGGTAGTTGATCCTTGATTGCAGTCCAAGCTCCTTTGCCTTATGGAATATCACATTCCAGGCCCTCTGATCTTTTAATGTAGAAGCTGCAATATCCCATGTAATCCTGACTGTGCTTTCTTGATATTTAAATTGTTTCTTTCTATCTGCTTACAGTATTTTCTCTTTGACCTGATTTGGAATTTGGCTACAATATTCCTTGGTGTTTTCAATTTGGGATCTCTTTCAGATTCTTTCAATGATTATTTTACCCTCTGGTTCAAGGACCTCTGGGCAGTTTTCTTTGATGATTTCTTGAAAAATGTCATCCTGGCTCTGTTTTTCACCATGGCTTTCAGGTAGACCAATAGTTTTTTAAATTATCTCTGCTAGATCTGTTTTCCAGTCTGTTGTTTTTCCAATGAGTATTTTATGCTTCCTCTTGTTTTTTCATTCTTTTGATTTTATTTGACTGATTCTTGTTGTCTCATAGAGTCATTAGCTTTCACTTGCCCAGTTCTAATTTTTAACAAATTGTTTTCTTCAATTAGATTTTGTCCTTTTCCATTTGGCTCATTTTACTTTTTAAGGAGTTGTTTTATTCAGTGTACTTTTTTTCCCCCATTTGGCCAATTGTATTTTTTTTTTTTATTTTTTGGCTAGGCAATGGGGTTAAGTGACTTGCCCAGGGTCACGTAGCTAGTAAGTGTTATGTGTCTGAGGCTGGATTTGAACTCAGATCCTCCTGACTCCAGGGCCAGTGTTCCATCCACAGGGCCACCTAGCTGCTCCAACAATTGTATTTTTTAAGAACTCATTTTCTACAGGGAGTTTTTGTCCTCTTTTCCCAATCTGTTGACTCCGTCATGCATACCTCTCATTTCTTTTCCCAGATTTTCTTCTGTGTCTTTTATTTGATTTTTAAAATCCGTCTTAAGCTCTTCCAAGAAAGCTTTTTGGGCTTGAGAACAATTCATATTCCCCTTTGAGGTTTCAGATGTGGGTATATTGACAATGTTGTCCTCTTCTGAATTTGTGTTTTGATCTTCCCTGTCCCCATTATAAGAATCTAGGGTCATTGTCTGTTTCTGCTTTTTGCTCATGGTGTTTGCCTATTTCTTGGCTTTTTAAGTGGAGCTCTCCTTCTGGAGCACAGGAGGCACTGACCCTAGCTTCTCATGCTGGGGGCCAGGGACCTGGTCACTGGCTTTGTGTTGCTGGGGCCTCAGGTGTTGGCAGCTGGAGGCTGTAGGGGTCTTGAATTTACCTAATGTTGAGCTGGGGTCAGCAACACTGAAGCTCTTGGGGGTGGGGGTCAGGCCTGTGGAGAGCACCAGCTCACCCTGGCTGCTTTGAAGCGCTGGAAGGTTTGGCTGCTGGAGGATGCCTGCCCTCCTGGAATTATGCCTCCTGGCTTTGTGCTTCCTGGAGTTGTGCTGAAGGACTGGGAGGATGGAGAATGCTGGAGAATGCCTGCCTTCCGGCACATGTGGTGGTTTTCCAAGCTGGAGTCTGCCGGTTCCCCTACCTGTGGCAAGGCACTTGGGGTAGAGGGAAGCTGGTCCTGGTGTTGGTGCTTGACTGCTGTACCACGCTGGAGTTCAGGATCTTGCCCTGGTTTGCTAAGGTGGGGCTTGCTTTTGGCTTGCTGGGATGGCACCCATCCTGTCCTACTCCCCTTCCACCAGAGCAAGAGAGACCTTTTCTGTTAGTCCCCCAAGCTTCCTGGGCTATAAGATTGCTGTACCCCATCTTTCTGCTGGCTCAGCTATTCCAGGGTTTTTCCTAGGATGATATTTTCTGGGTTTTTAGAGGTCAGTAAGGGAGGGTGGGAACAATGTACTTCTTACTCTACCATCTGGGCTTCCAGAAGTCAATTGGAAATGAAATCTTTATCAAAGAAACTTTTTTTGAGATTTTTTTTTTCTGGTTACCTGCTTCCCTTCAAACTTTAGCCACATTGGGTTGTATTTATGTAAAAATTTTCAGTCTTATGTAGTTAAAATTGTCTTTAAGTTACTTGAGTAAAATTTTCCACATACTTAGTAGGCTAGTGCAAGGCCCATTCTGTGTAGGGTACCTTACGTTTAGTAATATAGCAACTTACTTGAAGATTTCTATTCTGCTCTTGGATCCAGTCTGTATAGAGCAGTAGTCTCCAAAGTGAGGAGTAATTATGCAATTATTATGTAATTATTAGTATAATAGTATTTATGTAGGGGAAGGGAATAAATATTTTTATAGCACTTAGCACCTATATCTGCAAGGCACTGTGCTAAATGCTTATTATAAATATTGCCTTGTTCAATAAATAAGAAAATACCTTTCTAGACTAATTACCTATAATTCCTCTTCACACACATTTTGGCCCAGCCAAACTGGCCTTCTTGAGGAGAATAGCAAGTGGGCAGAGATTAGGAAAAGCTTCGTGTAAGATAGTGCTTGAGTTGAGCCTTGGATGAATTAAAGGATAGAAAGAAAGGGAGGTGAGAAGGGAATGCATTCCATGATTGAGAGAATAAACATATAAAGGACAGACTTATCCGATTTTCAGGTGGCATGAAGTTAATTAAATAAATTAATTAAATAAATATGACAATTAGAATCCAAAAGATGCTGGCAGGCTGGGCTGAGATGAGTTAGATAAAATTCAAGAGCAGCAGATGCAAAGTCCTGCCTTTTCGTTCAAAATATAAGTCTTACAAGTATAAGGTATTAGGAAATATTGCTAGCTAGTAATTATTGTGGAAAATACCTGGAATTGTAGTAGAGTCTAAATTCAATTTAAGTCAACAACGTCAGAGAAAGCATAAAGGTTAATATGATCTCTGACTTCATTAATAGAAGCATCATGCCACAAGAAGAGAAGTGATACACATAGATATATGTTCAGTCATTTTTCAGTTGTGTCTGGTTCTTCATGACCCCATTTGGGGTTTTCTTGGCAAAGATAATAGAGTAGTTTGTCATTTCCTTCTCCAGCTCATTTTACAGGTGAGGAAACTGAGGCAAACAGGGTTAAGTGATTTGCCCAGGGTCATATAGCTAGTAAGTATCTGAGCCTGGATTTGAACTCAGGTCCTCCTGACTCTAAGATCAACACTCTGTCCACCATGTCATGTATTTGCCGCATATATAGATATAGATATATATGTATTCAACTACATATATAAATATATGGTTATATAAGTACATATATAATTATAAAATATATAAGTATACTGTAATATATGTAAAGCATTACTGCTTTCTATAAAATATATGAAAATAGTTATATGTAACTATGTAGCTATATGTGTATATAGTATATATGAAACTACACATACATGTAAAACAATTTCATTTTATGTACATGTAGTTTTATGTATATATAACTAAAATATAGTTATATATAAGCTACACTATATATGTAATTATATAACATATACTTATATACATATGTTTTAGACATTTAGTTTCAGATATATAGTTATACACATAACTATATAGTTATGTACATATAACTATATATGAACTATAATATATGATTTCTGATTTCATTAATAGAAGTCATATATATGTATACATATACACATACATATACATACACATACACACACACACACATATATATGTAAATATATAAAACTTCCCTCCTTGTGACCATGATATGTTTATGGAATCATAAATCACATCTTTTTGTTCTGACATAGTCATATATATATTATATATATGACTTACATGTATACACATATAAATATATATGTGATATATAACCTTTATAATTTTATACGTACTTATGTAGCTTTATAGATGTGATTATATATAACTGCAGTATATGTATATCACTTCATTCCTTGTGATCACGATTCTATCAAGTCAAAGATCACATATTATACCTTTCTCAGTGTGTGTGCACATACTTATATATGTATATAATGTATTATATATGTTTGTGTATGTATAAGCAAACACACATATATCAGACATCTAGAGTACTATGTCCAATTCTGGGTTATACATTTTAGAAAGACCATTGCCAACCTACAGTACATCCAGACCAAGGCGACCCCAAACAATGAGAGAACCAGAAATCACATTGAGCACAGGATTATCATTGATAATAAGCAGGAAAGAGGAATTTTACCAACAAGTTTTGCCCGGGTCAGAGTTTGCAGTGAAAGTGCCAGCCTTCGCCAGACTTCGTCGCTCTTTGCCACATTTCCCCTATGACTCTTGTTCTAGTAGCAGGCGCGACACCCCCTATCCCCAGCCCACGCCACGCCCAGACACATTCTTGGCCCCGGCTCAGGGAGACCTGAAAGAAGCTTAGGGGAGCAGCTCTATTCTAACTAGTTTCGACTTCAGGGTCAGGGTCCAGGCAGGGCCGATCTGAATTCTAAGCACCCAGCCGGCGGTTACCTTCCCAGGGATACAATGCCTTCCACCTCTGGGTTGCCAGGGTTACAGAGGACGTTATGCTTTATCCAGCTCTGTATCTGAAAGCTTTTCTGTAGTCTGGAGAGAGGAATAGGGACTGATACAAAGGCACCCAGGACCTTTTGCTACCATCATGATGAAGTTTTTTGGGTCCATAAAAAAGAAGGTACAGTTGTCCTCTTCCCCTTCTTTCGACCGAAGTGAGAGCAGCAGCATCATCAAGGGTGCAGGGAGTAGCAGCTCCATCCTCACTCCCCCAAACGCCCCAGGGTATTGTATCCGGTGCAAGGACCTGGGCAAACTTCACAAAGCTGCCTCTGTTGGGGACCTGGAGAGGGTGCAGCATCATCTGCAGTACAAGAAACACGACCTGGACAAGCGGGATAAAGAACATAGGTGACACACAGACACTGAAGGGCTGGCTAGAGTGGTGGTGTTGTGGGGGTTGGGGGGGGAGGGTAGAGGAGGAAAAGGGGAAGAGACCAGCATTGCTCACATCACTTTTCCCGAAACGGGGCACAGAGAATACTTACCTATAATTCTGAGCATCTCTCCTTGGTATCCTATTGTGTATGGTGTCCAAACGAGGGAGTTCATATAAAATCAAATGAGATAAAAAACTAAAATAACAAACAAGATAATAATGTGTGAAGTGGAGGATAATATACACATATATGTTTGCAATATTAAAGCACTCTATAAATGTTAAGAGAAGCAGTGGGGGTTTAGTGGGGAGCCAGTTGGCCTTGAAGCATTGAAGACCTGGGTTCAAGGTCCTGTCTCTCTTACACGCTATGAGGTCCCAATCTTTCAGTGCTCTAAGAGGCAACTTAGGGAGGATTGTAAATTGCAGAGAAGATGCTAACTTGCATAAGTTGATGGAGTTCCCTTACCTGGAAGTTCCCTATAGCAATGAAATCAAAGGTCCAGTTCTTGTCCCTATTAGATATTTGAGGATTAACTAAGCCTTTTAAAATTAGCAATCTGGGAAACAGGAGAAATTAACTATAGTTATAGTGATACAAACTAACCACTGTGAGAGAAATTTAAGTTACCACGTGAATAACCAAGTTTTGAGTTGTCAGAAAATATTTAGAGCTTTTCCTGAAAATAGAGGAAAGTCTTTAACATGTGCAAACTTGTTTTACTGGGTATTAGAAAAAAAAAAGACCTGGATATCAAGGCTTTTGACTGCATAACTATTAATGAAAAAAAATGAAATTATACTGTGCAAAAATCCAATTCGAAAATAATTTCAACAGACAACTGCATGTAATAAGAGCAAAAGATATGGTGACCAAAGACCAAGGGTGGAGACATGCCTCTACCACGATCTTTGTGTCTCTCCCTGAGTAAGTCTCAGAACCTCAATTTCCTCATCTTAGTAATGGAGCTCACATTACTTACTAGCTTGGGGATGACACCTAATTGGGTTGATATGAGGTTAACTCATTGTAAAACTCAAAACACTGCATAAATGTGAGCTATTATGATCAAATGAAATAATCTATGCAAAGTGCATAGATTTTAGGGGAATGTTTTTATGGAATATTTTTTATGGACAAGGACAGTCTCATTTAGTGAAGAAAAGTTTTCTACCATCTTTATTGTCAATAGAGATTTGGTCAGTAGTCAAATAAATTATCTTCAGTTGTTATAACAAAAAAGATTTAATATTTCTAAAACAGGTCTGACCATGTCATTTCACTGCTTAAGTGACAGAGAGTATCCCTGAGACAGGGGCAGCCCTCCATCTGGCTCCCACTTACCTCTCTGGACTTACCTGTATTATTTCCCTTTTTGCACTCTGTATTTCAGCCAAACTCACCTTTTAGCTCTTTCCCTCCCTGCCTCTACTGAAGCTTGTTAGAATCTTAAGCTTCCTTAAAGACTCAACTTAGGTGCTGCTTCCTTTAAGAGGTACTTCCATGATCCTTCTTCCCACTCCCAACCTAGATATTTGTACTCTCTCTTTATTTGAATTAGACTTGTATTTAATTTCTGGTGTACATGCATGCATTTTCATAGTAGAAAGTAAGCTTCTTGAGAGCTAAGGATATATTATTTAAGGGGGTGGTTTGTGAAAATATACACAAGGAAGCAGTGATAACTAAATAAGGGCCCCAAAAGGATTAATCAAGAGTAGATTAACAACAAGGCAGTCAAAATAGCTAATGTGATCATGGGCTTGGCCTTTTATACATCAGCTTCATGCTCAAGATTAGAACAAATGAAAAAAAAATTACAGCCTACCTAGCATAACAAAAATGAATGAATGAATTTTCAAAAGCATTTATTAAATGTTTACTAGATATCTGACACTGCGCTGGGAGTTGGGAATATACATCTTATTGTTTTATTTTTTTAATTGAACTTTCATCTTACGGGTGCTGATTGTGCAAGACAGACAGGCTCCACTCTCCAGGAGCTTCCATTCTAATGAGGGAGACAACACATAGAGGGAAGCTGTAGTCTGAAATGGGGGAGTAGGGAGTTACCCAAGGACACACATGTTTGAAGCTGGAGTGGCATGGTGGCCTGGATCCAGGCAAGGCAAAGGTGAACATTCACTTATAGACCAAGTTCCCGGGGTTGGACTCTGAGATCCAGTGTGATGAAGAAGAGGGTAGGAGTTCGGGTATCAAGAAGCAAAGAGGGGAGAAATTTTAAAAAATGTTTATTTAATGGTAGCATAGAAAAGATACTCAGCAGGAATATAATCCTGGTTCAGGTAGATTCAGCTCTTCTTATCTCCACTTGGAAACATGTCTGGTTGGAAGGGTGTTTTGATTCCCGGGTCAATAGGGCAATATCTTAAGTGTGAGGCTTTCTTGTTATGAACTGGGCTTTGTAAACCTTAAAACAGAAAGCAAAATCAACTGCTCAAGCCCTATTCCGTTGGGCCCATCAAATCTTTGGGATGGCTATATCAACTTTTAGTGGGAGGGGAAAAAAACAAATTAGCTCAACCAATATGTCAGGGACACTACATATATGCTATTCCTACCATAAGCAAAAGTAAAAAAGTATATATATTTATAATATATATATATATATATACTTTATCAGAGTTTCAAATTACTGGGGTTAAATTTTTCTTAAAGTCAGAGCAGGTCAGAATTTTATTTCAGTTGTATATAGGTATTTATAATGATAAGCACTGAGAGCAAATGTAAATTTTACAAATGGCAATAAATTGCTCTATAATAAATATTTTGAAATTCTTACAAAGTATGGACAGACAAATATTATACTAAAATATTCTAACTGCATTTACATGATTTTATTATTTTATATATAGTTCTAAATGATGAGAGTACAATCTGTTCTGTAACTTTGTAGTCTGTTATTTTATTATAGGACACCTTTGCACCTGGCTTGTGCTAATGGATATCCAGATGTTGTGTCCCTCTTAGTGGCGAGAAAATGCAAATTAAATATCCAAGACAGTGAAAATAGATCTCCTTTGATTAAGGTATGCATGAATTATGTTTAGCTATGAACTGTATCCTATTTAGGTATCATTCAAAATTAAATCTTTAGCATATAGAGTCAAGTTGCAGAACTCATAATCTCTTCATGTTGTATTGACAGGCAGTACAATGTCAGCAGGAAGAATGTGCAACTATTCTTCTAGAAAATAAAGCAGAAACCAATCTTATGGATATCAACAAAAACACTGCCCTCCACTATGCTGCTTGTGGGCGTAATGTGTCATTAGTGAATAAATTGATTGAACACAAAGCCAACATTGAAGCACAAAATAAGGTACCCTTTTATTAGGGAACAAAAAAAAAACTTTCTTAAATTTTTTTTTTAAATCTTTACTTTGTAATCAAAGTTATATAGATTTAAAGATAGATTGGACCTTAGAGGACAACTAGTCCATCTCTCTCACATAAGAGAAAAGAAAATACCTCATATTACGTATGAGGATCAGTGACTTTGTCAAAGGTTACACAGGTAGTAAGTAACAGCAAAATATGAATCCAGATTCTCTGATTCCAAATCCTGGGCTTTTTCTTCTGCACTACCTAACTGTTCTGTTAAATGAGATGTGATGGTATTAATTACAAACTGTTAACTTCTGTCAGTGATTTTTAGAAAGAGTTCATGTATATTGAATTCATTCATTTAGAGAAGCTCATTTTATACTAATCCTTTAGAAACTTGATTATGTTTTCAACCTGTTGTATGTGGAGACTGAGAATACTAAAAATGGAAGTCCTGTATGATATATAAGTAAATTATATTAACTTTTACTTATTTTTAAGATTTTTACCTCCTTAAATCCCTGCAATAGTATCTAGAACTTGAAGATTATCCCAAGACCCAAGCCAAATAAAAATTAATCATTAATGAATAGATTGTGAAAATCATAGAGGCAGCATTACCCACCTAGATGATGAGCTGAACTTCTAGCCAAGAAGAGATAGATTTAAGTTTCCACGTGAAATACATACTGGCTGTGTGACCTTGCGCAATTTAACTTAACTTCCCAGTAAGCTAGGTGCTTCTCCAGGACTTTAAGTTAAAGAAAAAAAGTGTTTCGTAGCCAAACTATCTTTAAAAAATTATTTGGTTGGTGACTTTATATATACTAAGCCCAAATGATGGGGTTATAGGACCTGGACCCCAAAAAGCCCTAAGATCTTATCTCAGGAAGTAATCTAGCCCCTCCCCCACTGTGAGAAAATTTTCCTTTGTTGCAGAACATATGACCCTGTAATTCCTTTATCAGAACAGACACAGGGAATACTGACCCAAGGGCTCTCTTTGGCTTCAGATCTCTGACCAATGCCTCTGGCAGCTAAACAAAAACTCTTCTTTCCCTCAATATCTGGTATCAACAAAGTTATCTCTGCAGACTCCCTGTATTTTCCCCTCCATAGATTAGAAGTGCCTTCTCCCAAGGCACCTGGACCCCTGGCATATTCCTCTGAAGTACCCAAATTACCTAATTAGCATCCTTGGCATTCCTTTTCTCTCTTCCTTTCCATATAAGCCCTAGCACCATCCTCATCAATTTGCAAGTTCCCCAAAGGAACTTTGCCTGCTTTCCAGCATCACAATAAACTTTTCCACTTGACTGAAAGACAGCTTGAGTGTGTGAATTCATTCTAAGCAACCGCACTTTGTGCCCTGACATTCTCGTGATTCCTATCACCCCAACCTCATCACAAGTGTCTTAATTTTAAGCATGTGTAATCTCAACATACTTTCACGTGGACCCATGATTTCATATGCCATCAAAGGAAAGTACAACCCCAGCACACTTAGTATGTGGCATTTATGTGTTTGTTACTCTCTGTGGCCAAACATTTTGCCACCTTATGCCTAACTTTTTGGTGAAGTGACTCTCCTTATTTAGGCTGACCTTTGAACAACAGACACATTTCATCTTTCCAGTGTGATAGCACTGTTAAAGCTTATACTGCTGTAGCAAAGCCAGAATTGTAACTAAGGTGGAATAGTCAGGGCTTTTCTACAGGGTATCAAAATTTAGAGGGCACTGACAGTACATGTACTACTTCAGCAAGTAGAAACTGGGAATAGCTAATTAGTGAGAATAATTAAAGGGAACAATTAGTTTAAAAAAAAAGATGAAAGAAAGAAAGAAAAAGAAGAAAGCTACGAGATAAGACATGCATCTCCTTCTCATATCCCAGGCAACCTTCTACCCTGTCTAACCATACCTTGATCCCTTCTTCCAGCAACAGCCTCACTAGTAGATGCCTTGTTGGTATTCTAGGCTCTTAGGAGGTGTCTCTGAGTCTTCCCATACATTCTGAGCTTTAAAATATCTTTACTATCTCTGTGCTACTCAAATAAATGTGTCTTATGGTCAGGATACAAAGGACTGGCACCCCTCCCTGAGACTACAGAACATTTTCGCAGAGTATAAACATCAGAAAGTTGTGCTCAGCTGAATAGTTGCTTTATCTTGAATAAATATCGCTTCCCTGTTCTGAATATCCTTTCTCTGCCATGGCTAAGCAAACTGTTCTCTGGATTATAAGTATCTTATTTCAATCCAGTTTCAGACCTACATTAGCAAGAGACCATCCGTCATCATGCCCAGTTGGTTAAATGGCATTTGATTCAAACTTTTGTGGAGGCATTATGACAATTGTGACATTTTGCGTTAACTGTTTTAAAATGTTTTTGCAGGATGGGCTCACACCACTTTTACTTGCTGTTACTGAAAATAACCCGGAAATGGTGGCCACTCTCTTGAAGAAAGGAGCAGATGTGAATGCTTCAGATAAGTTACAGAGGTAATTTTGTTGAACTTAAATGATGTAGCTGGGAGCCATTGGCACTTGAAATGTGATTTTTTTTCTTCTTCCATATTGTGAATAATTCTCTTTGGGCAACACAGCACCAACACTTATTTATTTCTTAATCCTGCTTCCTTTACTCATTTGCTGCAGTCCCTCATTCTCTCCAAATAAGCAGAGAGGAAAAGGAGAGAAAAGAATAGGAAAAGCAAGAAATAGGAGAACAGAAGTTCTGTTTTTCTCTATATAAAATTATAGAAAATCCCTAAAGAAGTTATCTTTCTTATTCCAGAACGGCCCTTATGCTTGCTGTTGGTGGTAAACCGATTGGTATAGTCAGTCTTCTCCTACAACATGATGTTGACCTGTCTCGCCAAGATATTTATGGATTGACAGCTGAGGAATATGCTACTTGTAGTGGTTATTCAATGTTAGTGTGCTAATGCTTCAAAACCCTAATCATCTTTTATAATCTATTATCTATAACCAATTATAATTTAATCTTGTATAATTTGTTATTTATAATCTATAGATTTAAAGTAGATTTTATATATTGTGTTCACTAAATCTTGTGTGAACATTAAATTTTTCTGGTAAAAACATCTAATGTTGAAAATGCCATCAAATTAGTAGGAATTATAGGCGATAGAACATAAAGATTAAGAATTCAGAGACAGAACTTTTATATATTAGTCTGTATGATCAGTGTTGGCAAAGAAAGCTGAGTTAGAAATTTTAGGGGCAGGTGGGTTAGCATCATTAGCAGCCAATGATGTTGTGTTTGATGCTTTATGGAACTGACTGAAGAAGACTTACATTCAGGTCTTGCATTATCATCTTGCCTTACATATTCCTGGCAGTTGCTTGGGGCTTAAAAATCTTTAACAATGAATGGTCTTGGATGCAATGTATCTTTAACATATTCATTTGCCAGAAAACCTATTTTAAAGAATTAATTAATTCCTTATAGAAGTAACTTTTAGCTTCTCTTGATGTTTATTATCACTATGATTATAAATGCTAATTATATTGATATAGTGCTCTCCCACCCCCCACAATTCACAAAGGTAGTAATTTGTAATGATCAGTACTCTTACCAAGTCTGGCAGATACCATTTTTAGAGTAATGATTCCCCTAAAAAATAACTCCACTAATAAAATTAGAGAAAGAAGGACAATAGAGGACAGCATGGTATAATAGATAGAGAGCTGGGCTTGGAGTCAGGAATACATGGGTTTAAGTCTTCCTTCTAATATATATTGGCTACGTAAAGCCTGGGCAAGTTACTTAGTGATCCAGGCAGTTCTCTTAAGGCTAGAAGTTGCAAAGTGGATCTCGATCTCCTTGGTAATAATGAAAATAGCTAGCATTAATATAGCATCTACTATGTTCCAGGCAATGTGTTAAGATCTCATTTGATCCTCACAACAACCCTGGTAGGTAGGTGCTATTGTTTTCCCCATTTCTGAGTTGAGGAAACTGAAGTTAAGTGACTTAACCTGGGTCACATAGCTAGTGTCTGAGACTGGATCTGAGCTTAAGTCTTCCTGACTCCAGGCCCAACACTCTATTTGCTGTGTCACCTAGCAGGTCCAACTTTTTTAAAGATCAACTGTCTACTTGAAATCCTTCCCAGATCCCTCAGGATAGAATGATCTTTGAACTCCACATATTACTTTGACGATATATTCCTTATATACTCATGATGTATTATAGTTAATTATCTTTGAGTCACATGTGCTTACTGGACTGAACGTTTCATGAAAGCAGGGTTACATCTTTTTATTTTTTTCTAACCTAGCATATTTTTCTGGACAAAGTAAGCAATTTGTAAGTGTTTGTGGAAATGGCATAATCCGGAATCTTCCATTTCTTCATCTTTCCTCTTCCCTTTTCTCTCCTCTCCCTTCTTTCTTCTTTCCTCTTCCTTCCTCCCTCCCCTTCCCTTTCTATCCCTCTTCACCTCCCCATGAAGTTGGTAGGACTTTTGATATTTATAGGGCATTGGTGTCTCTGAGCTTTTAATCTGAGAATTTGACAGTATTAATCATTAATTGATTTGTATAAAGGTCAACATATTCTTATAAATTTTCTTTGTTTTTATGAATAGTCATCATGAACTGATTTCTCGATATAAAATTCAGAAGAACCTTAACAAACCCATTTTTCCTGAAACGAGCTGTCCAGAAAGGATTTCTGCTATTAAGTTTTCTTAAGTGGGTCTACCACAGTCAAAGGAGGTAAGATTGATATGTATGAAGTGGTTTAATTTTTTAGGAAATGAAATTAGGTTTTACATTAGCATATATTTTTAAAATTATGTTCCCTCCTCTGTGTTTTGAAAGAAAAAGTTGGTCCTTTTTGCACCACCATTTTAAGGTAAAGTTCTTCATAATCATTCTCAATGAAATTTTCTGACATTTGAAAACAATGTAAAGAACGTATGCCAAAATATTTTCCCATTTATTTAGTTTTTAAAAGTATAATAATTCCTTAGATGTATATGCTTCAGCATTTCAAATGACTCAGGACTTCATCAGTGTGGGTACTCTTTTCATGCCCTAAGGAGATGGTTTTACGTGTTGTTCTTATGTATCATCTTTCATTAGTCAGCCTCTGATTGTAAGCCTGTCTAAATTGAACTATGTTTGTCTTCTGACTATTGGGCACATAGCTTGCCTGGGCATACTTGCCAGAGCAAGGTAACCTTCAAGTGCTGATGAAGTGTAAGAGTAGGAGTTTAATAGAATTGCCTTCCTATAAGGTGTTTAACTTTGAAATTTTCAAAGTGTTTTTATATATATCATTCATTTGCATGTTTATTCACCTAATATTTGCTGATGCTTATTATATTATTTTATTTAGTATTTGCCATTTCATTTGATATCTCATTTTCATGGTTTGTCATAACCAAAGAATTAGTACCCTAGTAGCCTAAATACTTCCTTTCTTGGAAGGACTGAATATTTTAAAGACCATATAAATGTAAATCCTAAATTTAAGGGATGTTCCTTTACATTCCCTGAGAATTTTTTTTAACCTAAGAGAATTTTCCAAGTTTTTATGACTAATTGACAAGAAAATAGGAAAGAAACATTAAGTTTTTTTAAAATAACTTTTCTTCACTCAGGAATATATTTGAGTTTACTAAGCTTCTTTGTGAAGATTAAAATGCCCAAAAGTCTTCTTTGTTTTTGCATTAATAAGCTTCCATTCATAAATCAATAGAATGTTAAATTACCTCACTGAACTTTCATCATATAATACATACCCCAAATGATGCCAAAAGCAGGGCAAAAAAAAGTTAAATGCCACTTTATTTTATCCTTAACCATCTATGTTTATGTATATGTATAAATATATACATTCACAAACATGTCAATGGCTTGACAATGATTTTTCTACTTTATTTTAGTTGTGTTTGTATACTTGTATTTCTGATATATTGAAATTTGCTTTTAAGAAAAGGTGGCTTAGTGTTTAAATATTTATAAATAGTAACATAGAGATTAACATGGACAAAATCATGGATTAGATACCAATAAAACTGGAAATGAATTTTTCTCTGACATTTTAAATATTCCATGATGCAAAATTTAAGTTCCCAAAGGTTCTTTATTAGTTATGAATACTTTTATTTATATTTCCACTAATATTTCATGTTGTATATTTGTTTTTAAAATGTCATGAGTAACATGTGAATAATGTTTTAGGCTCAAGAAAACTATCCTGAAGATAGCACAACTGTTGAAGAATAAAAATAACTTTCCTGTCAGATTTTCATTTTTTAAAAGCAAACTTTGGAGTATACACTCTAACCAACCTTGCTGTGACTAGGAAAGCAAGTATCTTGCTTTCTTCTCCTAGTTTGCATGGTACTTTGTGGAAAAGCAACTTTCAAGGCCTTGTCAGATTGCTGCCTTTGGTTAATCACTGGCTTACATCAGAAATTGCCTCTTTAAAAGTTCAAAACGCTACTGGCCCCACCTCTGTCTAGAGTGCTCAGGTCTTTCAGTAAATCTTTTAGGAAGTTCCCCTTCATAAAGAAAGACAGCTTCATATTCTCAGGTGTTCTAGGCTCTTGATAATAGTAATTTTAGCTTTCTTTAGTTTAGATAAGAGAATTTATATTTGACATTTAGCAGAACTTTTTACTGTTTCATATTTTATGTTCTTTTTGTGGCATTTCATCTTCTTTCATTTATTTCAGCTCTAGTATTTTATTTTAAAATTCTAGGAGGCAAGGAGGAAGCATAAAAGTAGAAAGGTCAACTGTTTTGGGCGACCAAAGTCCCAAACAAGAGAATTTAGGTGTCATTTTTTTTCTTGTTTTTTTTTTCTTGTCTTCTTGTTTAGTGTTACTGAAGTTCTTTTAATTTTCTTAAGTAGATTTTTCTTTCCAGACACATATAGACCTCTGGTTTTTTGTTTTACCTGGCTCTTATTAGGCAGGGCTAGGCTTAAGGATATGGTAGTTTTGTTTCATTTTTTAAAACTACTATATCATTTCCCTGTAAATTAAACATAGAATGGAATTATCAGAAGGGCCAGGGAAATTATATATAGTCTGTTATCTGTAGTATCTGATCTACCTTAATGATAAACTAGAAGCCAGGGAGAAAAATGGAATTTTGTGGGAGGATTACAAGGGAGCACAGCATAGAATGGAATGGAATGAAATGCTTGGCCTGACAGCCTGACTAGAGATAACAATGAATGTTCGCTGAAGGAGATGATAGCATATTATTCAGTTAATCAACAAACATTTATTAGATTGCTATACATGGTTCTGGGTCTGATTGGCTTCCAAAAATATATGTAGCAAGTATGCTCTGGCTTATCCTCCCAGAACCAACTAGGCTATATCTAGAGTACCCTGAGGAATTTGTGGGGTATCCGCTGATATTGGCTTGGGTTCCCACTGGTGGTGTTCTCCCCACTGATAAGTGCTACCAGGTTGCACCTCAGTTCTATTTAACTAATTAACATTGTTTAGCTTTTCCAGAGGGACATTTACTTTAAAGATGTAAAAATGGGGCAGCTAGGTGGTGCAGTGGATAGAGCACCGGTCCTGGAATCAGGAGGACCTGAGTTCAAATCTGACCTCAGACCAAACACTTGACACTTACTAGCTGCGTGACCCTGGGCGAATCACTTAACCCCAACTGCCTGAAAAATAAAATAAAATAAAATAAAATAAAGATGTAATAATAAAAGTACAAATGCTTTTCTCCAATACCTGAGGACATACTCTGAGCTTAGTTTCTATGGAGCATTGGTCCCAACAAGGTTATATTCACATACGTTTGAGTGCCAGCTGAGTCCAGAGTTCAACTTCTATTGATCTGGGTCTAGAAGGTAACTCCTAAAGGTTCCTCCTTGCTCCTCTGGTCATCCATATTGGGCTGGCTACAAAAATATGGTCTGGACTCTAACTCCCAGATTTCTGTGACTTACTCCCCTGATCTCCAGATTAGTCTCCTTCTCTTAAAAGGGAAGAGAAAAAATGTAGAGGTCATGGACCAAGGTCCTTTACAGAGCCACGTGGCCACAAAGGGAAGGACATTCTAAGGCCTTTCTCTTTATAGCCTTGTCTCTCACTAGATACTAGGAGTGAAGGACTCATCAAGATCCCCTGACAACATTGAGATGAAAAGATTGGAGTGAAGCTGACTTTTTGAAGAAACCCCAAGTTTCAGTTATACAGCCAATCCAAACAAAACAAAACAAAACAAAACAAGACAATAAGACCTCCTAACCATATGGTTAGCAGGCTGTAACCAGTTAAAGAATGTCATGTGTTTCACAGTCTCTAGAAGGCACTTGCATTACATCACCAGGACTGTCCTAGAAGCAGAATCCCCAGTATCTCCTTGTGAAGAAATTGCATTGGCTAAGCAAACTGATGGGAGTATCTGCAGGTTACCAGACCCTTATTACAATTATCCCTTCCACATTGCAACTTTCCTCATCATGGTTTTGATATATTGTGGGTCGGCATAAGAAATTAAATGGAAATTTTTTGGGAGTTTTGTGAAAGCTGCAGAAAACAGGCAAAGGCCAGCAGATGACACAGAGCCTATGACCATTTCGTTAACCCAATTTTTACAATAATACAATAATAAAATTCGGTTAACCCAAATTTTACAATAAGGTACTATAAACACCCCTTAAGAGAAAAGGAAAAAAATTTGGACTTCTTCTCTGGTACAAAGTGAGGACCAAAATATTTCACATGGATTTTCTGTGTCGCAGGTGTGCTACCTCCTCACCACTCTGATGTGGAAGGGACAACTGTATAGTGATAAGGTACTGATCGGTTTTTCTAGAGTGAGTTTCCCCCCCCAGGAATTCACTACACCAATGAAATCATGGGTCTAGTCCTTATGCTAACACTGAAAATTTGTAAGGAATTGGGACTTGTATGAGAGTAAGAGCCATTCTATAATAGAAAATCATAGGTTAGGAACAAGCACTTTTCCAAAGAAATGAAAATTGACAACAACATAAAAAGTTTAAAATCTCTAATAATCACAGAAATTCAAATAGAAATAACTCCAAGATGCCATTTAACACCCATCAAATTGACAGATATTAAAATATGACAACATTAATTTTGGTGTGGCTGTGGTACTGGAGGACTTAGCAGGGGTGGGGAAGCTGAGGTCTTGAGGCCATATGTGGCCCTCTAAGTCCTCAAGTGTGGTCTGGAGGCTGCAGGTTCTTTACCCCTGAGTTAGGGTTGGATGCCACCTTTTGAGAAAAAAATATGAAATAATTCATTGACATGCAAAATTATAGAATTACATTCTTTCTTTCAGTTGTCCCACTGCTCAGACTTGTACCTTAATGGAATTTATTATCAGGAAGGAAAGAGCAATCAACATGAAAATATTCTTAGAAATGCTATTTGTGAGAGTTAAAAAACAAAAACAAAACCCCAAATGGGAAACAAACTTGGCATGCAATGATTGGGAGATAATCACATGAGAACATAATGGAATATTATTTTATTATAATAACAAATGTGAATTCTTTAAAATGTGGTAAGATTTAGATATAATAATGCAGTGTGAATTCAACAGAACCAACCATCTAGTTAAAGACAATAATAGTAAAAATACACATGATATACATAAAAAAAGATTAAAAAGATGAGGCACTAATTTGTTGAAGTCAGTATGAACATCTTTTGGTGTTGTACTTATAATAATTA